TAATGCATACACAAAATAAGTCTCACTTTGCAGAGTCGTGTATTTCTATTGCTATTCACAAAAAAAGGCAAACCAATTCTAGAAATGCTTCCAGAGGTTTCCTTTGCTCAGGTTGAATGATCTTCAGAGAAAACTACCGATCTCGTTGCAAGGCTTCGGACTGAAAACCAGGAATCCCAGACAATTCCCACGTCTGCTACCGACTTGCTCTGGGCAAGCAACTTCATCTTGAGGATGCAGTTTCTCCCACTGGTAAACTGCCAATATTTGCTCTCTTAATTTTAAGAGAAGGATCAAATTTACCGGAGGCAAAATCCTTTAGTCAGGAGAGAAAGGGCAGCAAAATTGTTACCTATAATCAGAACATTTCAGCTCTAAGGTGTTATACTGGATTGGCTTATTTCTATCAATTAGGTCAGAGTAGAAGAATATTTAGATCTTCTGCCTGTAATATTACCCATTTCAAACATGCCAGAGTAAGAGCAGCTTCCTTAAGAAAGTCTGACTTAATCTCCAACAGATCCAGACTCAAATCAAGGAGAGAGCATGCAAAGACAAAACAGAAAACTATGAACCCGGGGAAATGCAATTCTAGGTAAAACAGGAAGTGACGTCCTTAAATGCAACAACATAAAAAGAGAAGATTGATTTTATTTACATTAATCGACTTAATCCAGTAACTTTTTCTTAATGGTTCAGTGTTCTTGCATATTTAGGCACAGGACCCTTATAGCATATCCCTTTGCAGTTGGGCATCCCTTTACTGTTTACCATCAGTTAGTAGAAGAAGGGTTATGATATTAATCACTGATATTGCAGTGACATCCAGAGGCTTGTTTGGGGGCCATCAACTATACAGGCTTAAGCTGATACCTGGAAGAGCTCATAGTGCAAAAGACAAAACCATCATGAGTAAACGAAGCAAAAAAGCAGGTGGTGGATAGGGTGGACAGGAAGACGGCATGGCAGAGACAGGATTTTTTAAAACAAACCGTGCACCAAAGTTGTAAGCAGTCACAGTGCATCATTTGCCCAATGCTGAAATGCATAGAAGAAAAATTGCAACTTGTAATTTTAAAAAGGGAAAACTCTGAAAACATATTTGATGGGAAATATTCCTCCAGGCAGAAGGGGAAACCTGGGAAAACAAGTTTCCATGCTCATGGGAAAGACTGGGTAGGCTCAGAGGTGGCACGGTTGGGACAAGCATGTTCTTTGGCGCCTGCATTTATAGCACAAAGGGGCCTTGGTCCCCGACTAGGGCTCCTATGTGCTACTGCAATACAGGCAATACATAAGGAGGTTTAATTATAAGCTTAAATACCTTTGGCGAATCTGTCACCGACTAAATCACAAGACAGAATGAAATGCGTTGCTGGGATCCTTAAAAGAAAAGACATTCAGAACCAGGACCAACTCACACCGAACACACGTAGCGTACACACAGTATGTGAAAAACCAAAATGCTTTAATCCATCTCTCAAGAACAACAGTTCAAATTATTTCATTGGATACATTAATATTGATCCATAATTTACAGTGCTATGGACCAGACACGAATTATTGCTGTAGTCAACAGCAGGTGAATAACAACATTACAGTACCAAGCATCATAGCAAGAGGCAGTAATTAATGTCACCTTTTCAAGAAATATAGGTCATTTTATACTAGTATCAACATCAGCTTCTCCCCAGTGCATCTTATGTCAAACAAATGTAAGTGCATTAATTTTGTGCTTTGCTTCTTTTTTTTTTGTCCTTGTTCACTTCCTTTCTTGCTTTTTATAGGTTGCAGAATTAATATTGCTTAATAGACTAAAAACAATTAGGAAGCACTTCATCATACCCGGGATGATCACTTTGTTGTATGGTTTTGGCAAAGTGAAGCTTGCTTGGTATTCCAACTCCCCAGCCAGCTAACCAGGGTGACCCATGTTTTTTTGGCAGGCGGGCCACAGCCGCTACACATCAAACGTCTGCACAAATCGCTATCGTTGGGCTGCTATTCATCTTGCTGATGCCATGTCCGGCCTCAGGCCAATGACTGCCTGTCTATTCACTCTGGTTACTCTCTATGTAAAAACACTGAAGGCCATAAGCTCCATGATACACATGCTGTACAGAGAATAAAATGCGTCAGAAATTAAGACATTCCTGAAACGGCCATAACTGCTACTGACACCCCAAACTGGAACATTCAGATGTTTCCATGCAGAAAATTGGAGTTGGGCGTGCGGCAGTGTTTGCTAAAGGAGTCTGGGATAAAAGAGAGGAATCGGTTGAAGTGCAGTGTTCAGCATGGTCTGCTATCTTGGAGGAGCACGACATACAGGTGCAGCACCGCAGCCTGCTTTAGTTGCTGCACACCACAGATCTTCTAACAAGAAAATCCAGCCTCTGGTAAGCTCCAGCATCCTCAGACTTCTGTGCGTATGAGGACCAGCTGCAAACTGCATGCAAGTAGGGGACTGCATCTTCTAGGCAGCAGAGAGATCAGATAAGCTGGACACATGCATACATACCTTCATCCAAGCTCCCACTTGAGTAGCTTGGTCACCTCAGATACCACCATGGTTATCTTTAATGGTTACTAACCTGCGTGCATTAACACGTGCATCCTTTTCTGTTGTACAGCGCTGTGGTTATTGCCTTTGCTCAACTTCTTCCATTTTAAGGGAAACAAGTGACCCTGTGTTACATGAATCGTTGTTCAGACTGCCCTTTCTTTCTTTCTTTCTTTCTTTCATCTGGCACAATTAACACGTTGCAAGAGGAGCACGCGACTGCACACATGGTCACTACACTATGGCACAGATGCTGGGCAGAGTGCCACACAGTACATAAAGAGGTTTCTACTGCATTGCTGAGTACTATGAAGAGCTGGATGTAGAGTGCTGGAGACCCATAGGATGAAAGTGCTCTGGGCCAACTCCTGGTGTAACTCAGAAAGCAAACAATCCTCAAGCTGGCTAGAAAACAATGCAAAAAGACAGGCGCCGATGTAATCTGACCCCTGTCCTCCCCCAAGATAGCGATACTGATTGTATTGATGCCAATATACAGCAAGCTGTGCAAGCACAGACATGGGATAGCACAGCAAACTGCTGGAAGAGCTAAGCAAATAAAGGAGACCGTCAAAAATGCCCAGAGCAACCTTAACCCCCAATGCCAAAGTACCATGAGAAGGTGCAGAACAGACAGCAAGCCCAGCCAGAGTCCGCCGTCAACAAAACCCTGCTGACTTGGATGGAAGCAGGACTGGACAGTGGTTTCAAGGATTTTTCATAACCAGATGTTCATGCGACAGACGCAGCATTGATTAAAAACCGTGTGAACCTGCCACTCCAACGCCTGACATTTTGTCCTCCATCTTTCCTTACTACTAGATTCACAGTTGATTTCTGAACACTAACTACCACGCTCAAGGTTTCCTCACGGAGAGCCAAGCTGGCTCTCCAAGTCCAATGATTGATTGATTTAAATATTTCCAGTGTAGCACACAAGGAGGGAGAATGGGCAGTTCTCCTTTCCTCCATGGGCACCAGGCCACACTCCAATTTCCTATAAATATCACCCCAAAACTCTCTCCTATGTCACACTTCAGTCAGTGCTAGTCCAGGAAGACTACTACTAGAATTTAAGGCACTTCATTCTGAATGAGATATGCTTTTCTGCCACTTGCAAGTTAAATTGTAGGCTGCTATAGAGAAATCCATTCAATCCGTCTGGCTTGTAACACCACCACGTAGGCCATCTTTGTAAAAACAAGTAGGCTTGATATAATACAAGTATAACTACTGGTATTGCATAGGACTACACTTGAGTAGATAATGCACCAAAACTACTTTTACAACATTGTTGCATGTTAAAAAAAAAAATTAATAACATGGTTATCAAGTAACAGTTATTTGCAGATACAGTAATTTGCTCTGTTTTTAAACCAGCCACATTGCTGAAATAAAACACCAATTACTAGAACGGGCATATTAACTACGTAGTTATCAGGTTCTCAAGCATATTACTATTCTTTCTGTATCACTAAAAATAAATATGTAAGTTCAGTTTCTCTACAGAGCTGTGCTTTGTTTCCTAGTCTAAATCTGTGCTATACCTTAACCGTGTTTAAAAACATTTCCAATGTGAGACTGTAATATACAAAATATTCTTTAAAATCTCTCTTAAAACACAGGACCCTGCATAAAAGCTTCCTTTCAAGTGTTTGCAAAGAATTCAGAAAACTTCCAGTGAGTTTTAAAAATGTTGCAATATTAAGAGGCAAAATTCCTAGAAATGAAATACAAATATATTTAAAACAAAAATGAGGAAAACTGAAGAATCCATGCAAATCAAAGTAAACTGTACAACACCATTTTTTTTTAAAAAGTAAAGCCAATTAGAAATGTACAACAAAATGTGCCCCCTTGATAAAATGCATTGAATTTTGTCTGAAAAAATGTGTACCAGCTATACAGTGCTCCTTCATGCTTTATTGTTGTTAAACGGTTATAAATCTCTTTTCCAAAATAAAAGCCTCAGAAAAAAAAAGTAAAAAGCGAACCGTGACCAGAAAGAAAAGCCACTCAGTCAAGCGTAAAAATAACAGCACTCCAAGAAACGGAGACGATTACATCTCCCTGCATTCTCTCTCCTTTTTTAGCAACAATAATCAGGAACATTTGATATCAGAATCAACACAATCAGGATGCATTAAACACTTTTGAGTGGAATAGTAATATTTTTAAACACCTTGTGATATAAAGACTAAACTAACTTTGAAGGACACTGTATATCTTTAAGGCAGCACTATCAAATCAACACGACATGATTACGGAGTGGATCATTTTTTGGTTTCTTTACATTCTTTTTTTTTTTTTTTTTTTTTT